ATTTGATCTGCTGTTTCTCCATGAAAGTAGCTCAAAGTGTTGTTCCCATAGTCTGTCTGATACTAGTACTATTCACGCCTTTTCCGACAGTGTACATTTTATATTATTTCAAATATTGCAATTTATGTATTTGCTATTTAGCTATTATTACTACGCCCTTAAACCAGGTTCATACCCCACCCTTTCTCTCGAGCACATTTACAGTTTTCTATGCGGCAGCGCCCTCATTGACTCCACCAAAATAAGGAAACACGACCCGAGGACATGAATTAACTTAATAAACTGGAAGAGAAACAAACAGAAGAGAATTGTAATAAATAAAAGTGGTGGTGAGGGAAAATATTGAGCTAGGATTGACGAATATGTGAAGGAAACATTTTTACGGTCGGACTGGAGGTGGCAAATGAAGCATGAAAAATGTTCAACGGTCTTAAAAAGGGAAAATAAATTATGGTTGGGGGAAATAAAACACGGAAGCAGTGTTTTTCTCACATTACATGTAGTGTGGCGTGGGTAGTTATGTTTATCCACAACCTTCTGACTGGTGTACTTTCAGTCACTTCTGACACAGATTTCTGTTGACCTGAAGTTCTTGTAGTCTTGTCAAGGTTGAGGATTCCCTGTCGTCACCTGAATCATCTACTCCTTGTACAACTTTAGTTCATTGAGAACATCAGCTCGGTACGTTGCCTGTCCTGTACCTAGAGCCTGTCCTGTACCTAGAGCCTGTCCTGTACCTAGAGCCTGTCCTGTACCTAGAGTCTGTCCTGTACCTAGAACCTGTCCTGTACCTAGAGCCTGTCCTGTACCTAGCGCCTGTCCTGTACCTAGCGCCTGTCCTGTACCTAGCGCCTGTCCTGTACCTAGCGCCTGTCCTGTACCTAGAGCCTGTCCTGTACCTAGAGCCTGTCCTGTACCTAGAGCCTGTCCTGTACCTAGAGCCTGTCCTGTACCTAGAGCCTGTCCTGTACCTAGAGCCTGTCCTGTACCTAGCGCCTGTCCTGTACCTAGCGCCTGTCCTGTACCTAGCGCCTGTCCTGTACCTAGCGCCTGTCCTGTACCTAGAGCCTGTCCTGTACCTAGCGCCTGTCCTGTACCTAGCGCCTGTCCTGTAACTAGTGTGGGGCCTTACGGGCAGGACAGTCCGCTAGTTCATTCCTGCTTAACCGTGAGTAGTGGCCCTCAAACTTCCTAAAGCCGCGACCCTTCAATACAGTTCCCTTATGTTGTGGCGACCTCCTGATACAGTTCCCTCATGTTGTGACGACCCTTCAATACAGTTCCCACATGTTGTGGCGACCTTTTACTACAGTTCCCTCCTGTTGTAGCTACCTTTTAATACAGTTCCCACATGTTGTGGCGACCTTTTACTACAGTTCCCTTCTGTTGTGACGACCTTTTAATACAGCTCCCTTATGTTGTGGCGACCTCCTAATACAGTTCCCTCATGTTGTGGCGACCTTTTACTACAGTTCCCTCATGTTGTGGCGACCCTTTAAGACAGTTCCCACATGTTGTGGCGACCTTTTACTACAGTTCCTCATTTTGAGGCGACCTTTTACTACAGTTTCCACATGTTGTGGCGACCTTTTACTACAGTTTCCACATGTTGTGGCGACCTTTTACTACAGTTCCCACATGTTGTGGCGACCTTTTACTACAGTTTCCACATGTTGTGGCGACCTTTTACTACAGTTCCTCATTTTGAGGCGACCTTTTACTACAGTTTCCACATGTTGTGGCGACCTTTTACTACAGTTTCCACATGTTGTGGCGACCTTTTACTACAGTTTCCACATGTTGTGGCGACCTTTTACTACAGTTCCTCATTTTGAGGCGACCTTTTACTACAGTTTCCACATGTTGTGGCGACCTTTTACTACAGTTTCCACATGTTGTGGCGACCTTTTACTACAGTTTCCACATGTTGTGGCGACCTTTTACTACAGTTTCCACATGTTGTGGCGACCTTTTACTACAGTTCCCACATGTTGTGGCGACCTTTTACTACAGTTCCTCATTTTGAGGCGACCTTTTACTACAGTTTCCACATGTTGTGGCGACCTTTTACTACAGTTTCCACATGTTGTGGCGACCTTTTACTACAGTTCCCATATGTTGTGGCGACCTTTTACTACAGTTCCCACATGTTGTGGCGACCCTTCAATACAGTTCCATTGTGTTGTGGGAACCACCTTATACAGTTTCCTCATGTTGTGGCGATCCTTCAATACAGTTCCCTCCTGTTGTGGCGACCCTTTAATACAGTTCCCACATGTTGTGGCGACCTTTTACTACTGTTCCCTCATGTTGTGGCGACCTTTTAATACAGTTTCTTTATGTTGTGGCGACCTCCTAATACAGTTCCCTTATGTTGTGGCGACGTTTTACTACAGTTCCCTCATGTTGTGGCGACCCTTTAAGACAGTTCCCACATGTTGTGGCGACCTTTTACTACAGTTCCCTCCTGTTGTGACGACCTTTTAATACAGCTCCCTTATGTTGTGGCGACCTCCTAATACAGTTCCCTCATGTTGTGGCGACCTTTTACTACAGTTCCCTCATGTTGTGGCGACCCTTTAAGACAGTTCCCACATGTTGTGGCGACCTTTTACTACAGTTCCTCATTTTGAGGCGACCTTTTACTACAGTTTCCACATGTTGTGGCGACCTTTTACTACAGTTCCCATATGTTGTGGCGACCTTTTACTACAGTTCCCACATGTTGTGGCGACCCTTCAATACAGTTCCATTGTGTTGTGGGAACCACCTAATACAGTTTCCTCATGTTGTGGCGATCCTTCAATACAGTTCCCTCCTGTTGTGGCGACCCTTTAATACAGTTCCCACATGTTGGGGCGACCTTTTACTACTGTTCCCTCATGTTGTGGCGACCTTTTAATGCAGTTTCTTTATGTTGTGGCGACCTCCTAATACAGTTCCCTTATGTTGTGGCGACGTTTTACTACAGTTCCCTCATGTTGTGGCGACCCTTTAAGACAGTTCCCACATGTTGTGGCGACCTTTTACTACAGCTCCCTCATTTTGAGGCGACCTTTTAATACAGTTCCCTTATGTTGTGGCGACCTTTTAATACAGTTCCCCAATGTTGTGGCGACCCTTTAATCCTTATGTTGTGGCGACCTTATAAAATAGTTCCCTCATGTTGTGGCGACCTTTTACTACAGTTCCCCTATGTTGTGGCGACCCTTTAATCCCTTCCCTCATGTTGTGGTGACCCCCAAACAATTTGTGTCCATCGTAACTTCAATGACTTTGTGTTTTCCGATGGTCTTAGATGTGCCCAGTGAAAGCGTCGTTCGACCAGCAGGTTAAAAACCTCTGCCCTAGAGTGTCCTGGCGCAAACATAAAACTGATTCCTGTCGGACGAGATTTCGAGGACACTGGAATTATCGTCTTTGAACTCATCCTGTCTGGATCTTTTTAAGCATGTTCATGAAACAAGTTAGAGAGCAAGCATTGGAAATTATGTCTCTAGTCATTGGCTTCTGTTTTTTAGGTATTGCGAACCCGCTCCGTAATGCCGGTGTGCCGGGCTCGATTGCGGCTGCGAGCCTTGAGCCTTGCATTTGTTTCGACAGTGGTATCGAGAAGCTGACCGTCCAGAAAACAATGGCAAACTACTGGACGTAAATGCGCCTAGAAAAACCACAACAGCGAAAAATGCAGGGGTTGGTTTTAAAATGGCCTGTAAAGGATACGCAACTAACATAAAATGCCTCTAGCCAGGTTATTGCTTTTGTTACCGCCATCACCTGCATAGTCACAGATTACTTGTAATGAATCGCACACACTACTCAGGTACACCACCGTTGTTTTTATGTGCGATTGGAACTCGCCTGCGGACCGAAGGCCTTTGGTTCAAATCCGAATGGGGCCAGACATTCTTTTTCTTTTTCAGTTATGATATTGGCTCCCAGGCCAACCCCACCTTCAGTTATGATCTTGGCTCCCAGACCAACCCCACCTTCAGTTATGATATTGGCTCCCAGGCCAACCCCACCTTCAGTTATGATATTGGCTCCCAGGCCAACCCCACCTTCAGTTATGATCTTGGCTCCCAGGCCAACCCCACCTTCAGTGGAGACCCGATGAAGTAGTGGGGAGTAAAGGCGGCCGGCAGGATGTTGACCACATCACCCACCGAGTGCCAATTGGGGAAGGGGGGATTTAATCGTAACCGCTGACATCACCATTGTCGTTGTCGTTGTCGTCGTCGTCGCCGTTGTTGTCGTCGTTGTCGTTGTTGTCGTCGTTGTCGTCGTCGCCGTTGTTGTCATCATTGTGGTTGTCGTCGTCGTTGTTGTCGTCGTTGTCGTCGTTGTCGTTGTTGTCGTCGTTGTCGTTGTTGTCGTCTTGTTGTTGTTGTCGTCTTTGTCGTCTTTGTCGTCGTTATTGTCGTCGTTGTTGTCGTCTTTGTCGTCGTTGTCGTTGTTGTTGTTGTCGTCGTCGTTGTCGTTGTTGTTGTCGTCGTCGTTGTCGTCGTCGTTGTTGTTGCTGTCGTCGTCGTGTCGTCGTTGTCGTCGTCGTTGTTGTCGTCGTGGGCGTTGTTCATTGTTGTCGACAAAATTATATTTACAGTTTTTATGATCTTTATCACCACCATCATATTCATTATTATTATTATTACCACTATCAATAATATGCACTTATATGAATTTCATGGGAGTCGCCATGGTGTAGTGGCTAGACGCTCGCCTGCGGATCGGAAGGTCGTAGGTTCGGACCCTGATGGAGTCCTATTTATTTAAATGACCTTAACTCCTAGATTGTCCCAGCCTTGAGTGGGTTCCAGGTCCAGTCCTGGGAAGTAAAGGCGGCCGGTGTGAACATCTCACCCGCCGAGTGCCGATGGGTCTATACAAGTCTAGCCCTATATGCCAAATACGCCTGGGGACGCGGAGAAGGCTCCTTAACTGTTCAATGTTTTTTTTTTTGAATAACATAATGATGTGTCTTGGTTTTGTCAGTGGCGGAG